ACACAGTCCTCTCTCTGCTGCTGATTTCAGCCCAAATGCCACGTTCTGATACCACGTTACAAACACATTTTGATGTTTAAATACAGAGTATGTAAATGAAGGTTCTCTGAAACCAATTGATTGTCATTTATCACCTTGCACTTTATTGCTTTTGTGTAACCAAATGTTTTCTTGAACTGCTCGTGTAGCTCAATGTCCGTCAAGGGCAGTCTCTTCCCTTTGAGGGTTTTGATGGAAGCGTTTAAAGCCCCCCACCACTGAACCATGTTTTGTTGGGGATAAAGCGATTCTAACTCAATGGAGATGACATTATAGCTGCAAAACACAAATGTAAGTTAGATTCCATGCAAAGCAACATTCTACGTGTACAGTATTTGGTAACACTTTATTTTAAGGTGATGTAGGACACGTTACTACATGTACTTAATATAGTAATAACAGAAAATGATGTATAATTACAAGTAACAAACCCCAACTGTAACTCTATAGTAAGTACATGTAGTTAATTAATATTACTCAGTACTTATATGAGTAAGTACAATGTAATTACATCACCTTAAAATAAAGTATTTATATAATTGAAAATATTAATACATGAATGTTGTTGTTAGGGATAATCTAATATCTAGAGGCGGGGCTAATTTGCATATTCATAGAACCGCGCATACCGGTACTTAACGAGTCAAGGCTGTAGAGCTACATTCAAGCTATTTTAAGGCATGAAGACAAAAAAAATCAAGGAAAAAAACTCTGAATATCATTTTGGTGATCAAAGTTGAGTTTTAAGGGATAGAATTTGTGACGTTAGGGTGCTGACCTTTTCCCTTCAATCTCACTGAGTGGAATTGGAAACTGTGTTTTATAAGAGTCCTGACGAAGCAACTCGTAAAGGTAATTGGCTGCTTGAGTCTGCAGAGTTCTGAAAGCCACCTAAACACACAAAAAAAGAAAAAAAATTTATATATAATATCAATAATTCTAATATTTAAAACCCTAAAATACAAATCAATGTCTGATTCTTATCAAATGAAATGGTTATTTCATCTAACAATCCAGAAATTCATTTATATTAAAAGGGAATAATAATATATTTAACTATATTAATATTAATAATATTAATATATTATTATATTTAATTGCACATAGGCAATTAAATATAACAATAATTATTATTATTATATTTAATATTTTCTACATGAAATTAAATATTATGTTTTATTTATTAACTTCACAAACAAACAATTAAATTAATTCTATTGGATTCTATAAGCTCTGCATTTTTATTAAAACGGACACTGTCCTAGACTCATCTCTCACCTTTGTTTCCTCAGTGATGTCATCAAGAGGAGGAGTCCCCACATCAAATTCAATCCCTCCATGAAGGTGAAAATACTGATCTTGCTTTTGTGAAAAGTGCTTGCAGGCAAATTCTGGTCCAAGAAGATGTGGAGGAACCTCTCGTTCTGTTTTCAACTTGTCGTCTTTAAGCATGAAAAAAAAAATTAATTTACCAATGTCAGTGCATCCACATATTTATCAGGCATGGCAGTGATAGCTATCAAAAGAAAATGCAAACCTGACAAAGGTGGGAGCATTTGAGACAGATTAGGAATCAACATCTTTTTCCTCAAAGATATCAGCAAGGGCACCAGGAACGTGATGAGTTTCAGGTAGGCGAGGTCTCTGGAGACTTCTGCATTCCTCTCAAGGTGCTTTCTCACCACAGTAATGTGGTCAGACAGTCTTTTCTGTAGCCTCTGGTAGGTGGCCAGATCAATGTTGTCCTCTGTGAGTCGGACCACATTAGAAAGGCTGTGAGTCCCCTCAAACACAAGGAGATTTTGGTGCTGGCGGACAGAGGTCAGGTAAGCGCTAAGCTTGATCAGGATGTTCTCTGAGTATTGTGAGAAGAGTTTCTCCTCGTCTGCACTGTTGGGTTCATAGGTTGGGTCTACATCAATGTTCTCCTTATAAATGTCCTGATAACATGGATCATCTGAGATGTCTGTGAAACCTGATAAGATAAATCAGTGTTATTTTAGTATCACTGCAATACATATATTGTATATAAATTGTATATCAAAATATTATAGTTTTTATAAACTATAGTTTTAAATTTTAAGATTTCAGATGCAAAAACCTCTAAGCCCGTCTGTAACGTAAGCAGGGACGAGGCAGAGAGGGAATCCAGATGCAAGCACAAGTTTTAATAGACAAACATAAACACAAAATAATCCAGGAACAAAGGTAACATCCATAAAGAGAGCGCAGGAGAACAACAGGAATACAAAGAAAAACAACCGAAAAACAACAACTGAAGCACAGAGGTTTAAATAGACTGGTTAACAAGGGGCTGACGAGGGACAGGTGTTGGTTATTAATGTCATGGGAACCAATGAGGGTAACTATGGTGACAAACAAGGTGCAGGGAAAAACAGGAACCAAACACAGGAAGTGAACACAGAAACAATGGGGAACTGAAGTGTTGAATACACTTCAACATAAAAGTCCTACAAAACACGACAGTACAGGGATCGTGACACGTCTGACATTTTTCTTTTTCTTTAGCATTGCTATTAGGCTCCTATGTTTTGGTTCAGTAATTTCATTTGAATGGCAATGAAAGGGTTATTAGTCAGTTATTGAAATGCCTTATTTGCACAAAAGTTCACTGACAAGAGTAAAATTAAAAACATAAAAAAACTCAGAAATGCTAAAAAATGTCAGATGAACTTAGAGGTTTTTGCATCTGAAGTCTTATATAATATTTTATAATTATTTATCAACAATGAATTATTAAAATATAATGATCAAATATTTAATAATATATGTATTAATATTTAATATTATATTTATTCTTATTTCATATACATTTAATTATATTTTGTTTTTATATTTTCCTTTTATTGTTAGTAATTTTGTTGTGTTTTTTTTTATATGTCTATACAGGCCTAATTTTTATTGATTTTATTTATTGAGTTTTAGTTGCACTTATTTTACATCAAGTACAACTTTGTCTAAACTAGCGTTTTATATATTTTATTTCGGTTAAAGTTTATTTTATTTCATGAAATTTTTGTGGTAACACTTTACAATAAGGTCTCATTGATTCACACTGTTAGGTAATACAAATGTTCATACAGAGCATTAATGAACTAATACAACTTTTTACCTTAAAATGTTTTAGTAAATGTTTAAAATTAACTAACAAATTAACATTAAGATGAATAAATGCTGAAGAAGTATTGTTAGTTCCTGTTAACATTTCCACCTATTTCAACTTACAAATTTAATTTATTAAGTTAAATCAAGTTAAAAGCACAAATCATAAAATCAATTGAAATAATTGATATCTCACCTGCATTGAGGAACTCTTCAAGCACATCTTTCTTAGTTTGAGGCACACCATCTGAATCAACGGCCATGATGGATCTCCATAACTCAGAGAAGCGCATGCGTTTTTCTCTAGAAATGTAACTCCCGTGCCAGAGAGCCTTTATGGTATAATCTATGTTTATTAGTATCTGACCGACTTTTGTATCGTAATAAGCTGGTGGTAACTGGCACGTAGAGCTCTGGTCATAGTTGGGTACCAGATTGATAACAGGAATTTGTTTAAAACCATATATTCCCACAGTCAGCTCCCTCACAATCTGGTGGACCACTTTGTAATCCAGGGGCAAACATGCGTCAAAGGGAGCCAGAATGATTATGTTGGGAGCTAAGATGTTCCTCATCTGTCTGATGATGCCGGGAGGAGCATCCACAGGCTGGTTGTGCTCTTCACCACTGAGCAGCCAGTTACTGGAGGTCAGGCTGAGCACTTCTTGCAGTTCCCTGCGGTCATATTTCTGCAGTAAAGACTGAGCGGTCAACGCAGCACGAACAGCGCTCTCGCTGCTCTGGTCGGATGAGTTCTCCATCAAAACTTCATCAGTTTATTTCAGATACAGACCATTACGGTTCACCTTGAGAGATTGAGCTGTCCGATGAAATGTGTGATTTTGAACAGTGTTGCTCTTAGCAACCAGTGACGCATAGTGACGGTTCTTCTGCAACTCTTCAGATCAACCCATAGATGGTGCTGTTGCACGCTTTCGAGGTCAAGGTGAGTGCAACATGCATGATTAGCTCATAAATAATTGGGTGTTACTTAGTATTTTTTTTTTTTTTATTGTTATTAGTTTATCTAACAGGGACAATGCATATTAATTAACATTACTATAAATGCGCCAGTCATCTGTAGATCAAGACAGAATGTTACAAAGTCACCCTAAAAACAAATAAAAAAATGTAGTCAAAAATATAATAGGAAATATTTAAATTATGATATAGATATGCGCAATATAAATTGCCTATATAAATCCATCTATCTAACACAATAACATCAAAGTAAGAGACATCCATTTGGTTTAATACTATAGAGGGATTAAATTAATTCGATTTTTTTGGTTAAAGTAATTTTATTTATAAATGCAGATTTTTTAAAATCTCACCCCTTAAAACGTCTTTAAATGCCTTAAAATGAATAAACATTCTCGAGCCAATAACTTGTATTATCTATTAGAATATGATATGAATATGATTGTATATAATGTATGTAATATAAGAATGTTACATCGTTTCATTTGTATGCCTACGCGCACATATTTACGTCTATTGCATTAGTACGTCATGACGTAAATAAATCACTGAACCGGTTTCGGAGTGTTCAAAAGATCCGATTCGCGTTTTTTTTTTTACTCTTGAATAAAATGTACAGATTTAATATAGTATGCAACAATACAGAACCATAGACTAAAAAAACAGAACAGACATATCTAGAGAGTCCTCCCTACCCTACTACCCCTTTAGCGTCTCGTAACGTATTTAATATTTATGAGCTAAGTAGCCTTCGCGGATATGTGGACCGCTTTGATAAAGTTGTGAGGACCAGCACTGCGCATGTCTGGGTCTGAGTGACTGAGGAAACTAGTAGCTACAGCAACCTTTACCCAGGGAATGTTTCTTTCTGTCGAAAGCCCCAGAAAGTGTACAACTTTGCGATTTCATCGACCTTATTCAAAATCACATGCTGAAAAGAGCTGTTTTCACTTTCATGATCAGCTGACAATGAAAGCTGTTATTTTAGCTGCAGGATATGGAACTAGACTGCAAAGGGATATCGAGAATGACACGACTGGGAATTTCAAGCATCTGGGCGGCATTGCCAAGCCGCTGCTTCCTGTCGGTCGATGTGCCCTTATCTCACACTGGGTTCAGGCACTGACCAAGACAGGAAGTGTGGACACAGTTTATGTGGTTGTGAGTCCAGAATAACTGCTTAGTTTAAAAAAAAATATGACTATATTGAGCTTTGAAAGTAATAGTGTTTGACTTGAATGATTATTATGCACAAAATAACAAATTGTATCATCTATTGAACAGACAAATGATCTTTACTTTGAAGCATTCCAGCAGTGGGCTCAAGAATTCCCCAATGTTAAAATCATAAACGATGGTACTAGAAGAAACGAGGTGAGTACACTGAAATGGAGCAATTTATGGATGTTCAATGTTGTTGTTGTGTTTTTAACTCCCTTTCAATTGTCTCTGCAGGACAGACTTGGTGCTGTTGCCTGTCTTCAGTTGACAGTAAAGTTGTGTGCTGTGGATGACCACTTACTAGTAATCGGAGGGTATGACCAGCTTCAGACTGAATAAGGCACTGTCTTTCAGGCAGTGTTTAAGCGTAAATATATTTTTCATTTTGCAGCGATACTTTATTCAAAGAGGATTTCAGCCTGAGAAAATTCACAGAGAGGTTCTTTGAAGTGCAAAATAAAGACAAAGAGAGCAATTTAGTGCTGTCATACCAATGCAAAGATGAGGGTGAGCGTAAAAGCAGAACAATGACCCAGTTTCACAGACAGGGCTTAGATAAAGCCAGGATTAGGCCTTAGTTTAATTAGGACATTTAAGTAGCTTTTATAAACATGCCTTAGAAAAAAAACATTATTGGTGTGCATCTTGAGACAAAGCAATGGCACTGACATATTTTAAGATATGTTAGTGCAAGTTGCTTTCAGTTAAAACAGCTCAAACATGCATTTTAGTCTGGTACTAGGCTTAAGCCTTGTCTGTGAAACCAGGGAATAATGTTTTTAACTTTGGTAAACATATGGTCACTGGTTTTTAAATCCATTATTATATCATTTTCATCTTCAGAAACATCCAAATATGGGATTCTGGAGTTGGATGAGGACCTTAAAGTACAGCGTATGAAAGAAAAACCTCTCTTAAGTGAAACAAGTTCACGTAATGCAGTATGTTTTCATTTGCATTGGAAGACATTTCAGTACTGTTTATCTTTATTTTTACAAGCAATGTCTTTAATGCGTTTTCCTCATTTTGCAGTGTCCTTGTTTTTACTTGTTTTCAAGAACCGCTCTTCCTCTTTTGGACATGTTTCTTAATGAGAAGAAGGTAGAGTTGATCTATATTTATTAAATTATTCTATAGTGTGTGGTTTTTTTTTTTTTATGCAACTCTTCTCTGTACAGAATGCACCCATTGAAGAGCGGGACGCACCAGGGACCTTTCTGTCATGGCTCATATTAAGGTCACTTAAAGGCAGACTGTAGACAATAATAAGGCATTGTTTCTGCTTGCATTTAGTGACATTAATCATGCTTGGTTTAATTTTAGGAGGCCTGTGTACGTGCACAGGATATCTGGTCGATTTGATGTGGGGAATCTTGCATCATACATAGAATGTGACAAATACTTCAAGGACCAACTTCACAATCCAACTGTTTATTTAATGTAGTTCAAAAATGTAATGACAATCAAACATGAAAACTACATTCAGAATAAACCTGTATCAGTACCATTTTTGAGTGAATTATTGTCACAATCTTGTTAAATTAGAAGGGACAATAGAGTATTAAATCAGGTGGCGACCAGCCTTTTGCACTTATCTGAGGCCTTTTCATGGCTATTCTCTAACTTGGCAATTCTAGAGCCAAACTGCATGGCTCTCTTAGGTAAGAGAGCAGAGAGTGCCAATCCTAACTCGACAGCTGCTAGCCTCAATAACAGCTTTTCTCCAACTCCTCTGGGTAGAGACAAGTCAGCTTTCTCTGCCACCGGTAGTCCATTAAGGAAACTGACTACATCTTCGTCCAAGTATGGAAATCTGAGTTAAAAAAAATATTTACAGTATGTATTATGTGCAATACTATAGCATTTCATTTTTGGTTGAACGAGTTTTTTAATCTTTGATATTTCTTGAGCTGCAAAGTGTCACTCTTGCCTGGCCTCTTTTCCATGGTCCCCAATGATTCGGTCATCCCTTCCCAGATTTCTCGAGGATATTCGTCCCAGCTCCATAGCCAGCTCTTTGACGAGTCCTTCCAGTCCAGAGCTCTTATACCGCACTCTGTGTCTGGAGTATCCCGCCAGCTGTTCATCTGCTCCGATGCCAGTCAAAATCACCTTTAAGAGGAAAATCAAATTTCATGCAGCGTGACTTTAAGTCTTTACAATGACATAAATTTTCATATAGACATAATTAAAGTCTAAAATAATTAAAGTATTTCATATAGACATAAACAGAAAGTTAACAGAAAAACAAAGTAACCTTTGCCTCTGAACTATAAAGCTCTTCTTCAACACCCTCATTTATGATGCCAGTTCCTCTGGCAGCAAACCAGACGGCACATCCAAGGCTATCATCCAGAACAGTGTCTAAAGGGTGAACCAAATGACGGATGCGTTTCTGTCGCATTTCTTGAAGCTCCTCTTGAGTTACATTAATTTCGATAAAGTTCCACTGGCGGTTTGGACTGAGATTTTTTAGTTCTTGCACACCATCTCTTCCAGTTATTCTGTCTGGCACATCAAAGCAGTTAAAGCTCTGCTGATCCGATTGAGTTTTATCAGCATCACAGTCTTTCTTCTTATTTTTCCCTTTCTTCAAAGACTTGGGAGGCACTTTTGCCTCTTGGATTTTGAAAGCAACATTGAGTAGGTCAATGGGTTTGTCTGCAGGAATATGCCTATCAGCAAGGGCAGCTAATATCATTGAATCAATTCCCCCAGAGAAAAGAATGGCAATACCAGCTTTTGTATAATTTAAAGGAACCGCCAATTCATATTGAGCAGGTAGGTAACAAACTCTCTTACGGACAGCCTCGCTTAGAACATCAATGAGCATGCTAACCATCGCTTTCTTTTGAGTGTTTGTTAGTAATTCTTTCAGACTTGCAACAGAGGTTTGAGAGGCATTCTGATCTTGTTCAGTTGTAAGTGATGAAATTGATGCATTCATTGGACAGACAGGGCAGGACAGGTAAAGTCCAGAACTATTTGTGTTTATAGAGACAGATCTAGGTAGACTTTCACATTTAAATTCCGAGCTTTCATTTGGCTCATTGCCATTGTGGAAAACCCATGGATAAAGATCAAAAACAAATGTCCCTAGGGATGAAGAATCCGTTAGGTCAAACCTGTAAACTCCACTAGGTGGTACTTCCTGCCACTGAGATTGAGTTTCATCTGCTGGCTGGGAAGCAACAGATGCGAGTGTGAAAGATGCTCTTTCAGGATCAAATTTCCAAAGCAGACTTCTTCTTCCAAAAAAGTCCCTCCCGAACCAGATACAGTGCTCTGCTTTTTGGTAATAGATAAAGGCCCAGGGTCCTTTGAGTTGTGACAATAAAAATATCACATCTGAGGCGCTCTGCGCCATTGACAGGTGATGGAGAACAACTTTGGTGTCATTATCTTCCTGCTCTACTCTCAGACCACCAAATACCTCTCCATTCCAGAGAAGCATGTTCCCGTTGTCATCTTGAAGAGGCTGAGGTGTCAAGCAACCCCTCATATGAAGCACATGTGCAGAGAAAAGGAGACTGCAGTCTGAGATTGTTATTGTAATGTCCCGGCTACAGTTGGGCCCTCTGTATTTGAGATTTTCATACACACACTCCTCTAGTGCATCATGCGGTGTGGTCAAACTGACCACACAGCAGATCCCACACATGGTGCCACCGAACTAAATATCTTGATATTCTTTCCTCATGTTATCAAGATCCTCTGTAAAAGGCAAGATGACAGTATTAGAAAGAACTCAAAACGATTGGTATTTATGATTTTATTAATTATTTATGAAACTTACTTTTACATGAGCTAAGACTCTCTCCTTTGTCTGCCAGAAAGAATATGTTGCTGTTGGGTTGCTGTGTGTACACTCTCTATAAGAATAAGGTTATGATTACCAGAACATAATGATATTCTAGCAAAATCTGCATATATAATCCTAAGAATATGGGTAATTCTAAATCCTCTTCATTTAAATGTATGCAATGAGAAGACCACTGACTTTGAGGCAAATGTTAATATTGTTTACATGTTAGTTCATGCAAGATAAAAGCAGTCTTTTGAAGAAGGACATGGGATTGTAATATTTGATCCCAAATGTGTTGGAAAATATCAATAGATTGCGTGTATATATATATATATAGAGAGAGAGAGAGAGAGAGTATACAACAAATAATTTGTACTCCTTTCATATATATACTCCTTTTGTTAATTTTTTCAATAGGAAAATTAAAAATTGCTAAGCATTACGGACCAGAAACGAAAAGTGAAAACAATTAAAAATATTAACCATATAAATTACAGTTAAAAGCATATTTTTAAGAATATGAACTTCTATAGGATGTAGAGATAAGTAGCCTACTCTGCAGTTTGACTTTGACTTGTCATCTATAATTGAGTGACAGCATCTGCTACTCAAATGTAGCATGACCATATGATATGGGACAACATACATACGTCTAAGTTATACATACCCTGTTTTTCTTCAAATTGCTCAACTCGTCGACTAAAATCTTTTGCTCTTTTATCTGTGAATAAATAGTTTGGTTTATTGGAAAAAAGGTTTGTAAACCGTGGATAAAAACATAAATTACTTTATAACTGACAAATAACGTCAGGAAACCTTCTTGTTTAGCTCCTCTTTTTGTGCGAGCTCTTCTTGAGTCCCAGGTTCCGGTCGCTGTATGTTCTTAGAAGACATTTTATGTGAAAAGTCAAAACGCTTCGTCTGATTTAAGGAAACATTTCCACATGCAAGTAGCTCGTTCGTCGAATACGAATGACGTATGCTGCTGGGGTAACGTTACAGACAACGGCGCTTTAAAAGTGCGTCACGTAAGTGTTTACGAAATCATAACCCCCACAATAAGACCATTATGTTAAATTTAACTGCTTAAAGAAAGATAATGAAAATAATGGTTTGAAAGTAGCTGCAAGAGGCTGGAGCATTTGAACAAAGAAATGCGGATGAATGAGGATGATAGATGAGTAACGTTAAGCACATACCTGCCAACTTTTGAGTTTTGCTCGGCGTGAGATTTGTTGACGGGGGGGGGGGGGGGGGGGGGTAGAGACGAGTGAGATTTGTTGACGGGGGGGGGGGGGGGGGGGGTCTCGCTCGCGCAAGGTCTCTCGCTCGCTCTACGCGGTTTGGAGCACAATCTCTGTCTCGCATGCACGCTCGCTCTAGATAACGGGAGATTTTTAACGAATTTGCGGTATAACTAGTCGACCACGAGTGGCACAACAGGTAGATATATAGATAAACTCATCTTCCAGGCATTTGACCGCCCGGGTTGACACTTCAGCGTGAGAAATCGGGAGTGTGGCGTGTGAGCGTGTGAAACCAATCAAATGCGGGTGTCTCACGGCCAATGCGTGAGAGTTGGCAGCTATGCGTTAAGCAGGTAGTTTTTCATAACTGATATAATGTGTCGAGATAGAATGTAAAACCATGTTGTTGTTTTTTTTGGCGAATTGATTATCATTTGTATAATTAGGCTACTACAAAGTACAAATATCATGTTTTATATGGTTAGTGTTGCAAAATCATGGTTCATTTGTGGTTACCTTGGTTTAACTGCAATAACCTTTTTTTTTTTTTTTTTTTTTTTATCATGGCTTGTTTTCGTAAGGGTAAGTTTTCAAGAATAACAGCTCAGATTGGTCCAATACTTCCAAACCCTGCATTTTACAACATTTCAACATCTAGGGCAGTGACCCACTATCAGAGCAACCAAAGCAGCTGATACCTGTCTCAAACAGATATGATCTGATACTGAAACATATCCCACCATACTTGAAGGAGAACAAAAAAGTATCATGATACCATAACTCTTGGTGTACAAAACATCATATTTCTAAAATATTTAAAAATGTAGCTGAAGAGCTTTGCTCAAGACATGTCAAAACACATTGATTGCATTTTAAAGTCAAAGCTGACCGGCTTTTACTGTCTTACTCTAAAAACAATGGAGCCTCTTGATTTTTTTCTCCCACAAAACTAAAGAGTCAACAGCCAAAATCCTAAATCCAGAATCCTGATCTATGAGGTCATTGCTTGTGATGACAAAAGGTTTTTTAACACATCCCTAATTGACCATAAGTCAAGTTTATGCATCCAAATAGATTTTGTAATATTTCACACCCAGGGCAATGATCCACTATTACGAGTTTTTCATCACCAGAACCTAGAACTGATATTATCTGATATCCTGCTGTACCATACAGGTAAAGAAAATGAACATTATATCATAACTCTTATGCAACGTCCAATTATCCAAAAAATGTTGTTGTCCTGTAACGAGAGCTTTGCTCAAAACATGTCAAAGCACATTGTTTGCATTTTAACATTGAGGGGGGAAAAGTTTAGTCAAAGCTGACTAAAGCTTACTGTCTTATTGTAAAAATGTGTTGAATCCAGGCAGTATTTAGGGTACAATGGAGCCTTTTGATTTTTAAATAGCCAACAACCACAATCCTAAATGCAGAATGCTTATGATGACAAAAGGTTTTGTAATACATTTAAAATGCACATCCCTGAAATGATCACGTGTAATTGAGACTTTGTGAAAAAGACTAGGTAACCAGATTTCTGAAATGTAATCCAGGGACATTTCCTAGTTTAGTGGTTCAAATATCATTGAAATCTCACTTGATTATTATCTATGAATCAAAAAATGGGTACAATATAGTTTTGGATGTTTTTATTTTTTCTTTGTTGTGGGTTTCTTATACTTTTATAATTAATAACTATATTATGTTGTTTGCAGGTCAAACTGACCCTAATCGATTTTAATTAGTCAAAAATCACACTAAACATAGTAAATAGTGACCATTGCAAACAGATCAATACAAAATTATAACAAAATGATGACTTTACAAAAACAAATTTGGAAAAATAAATATGAAATTAATAAAACTGTAATTAACAAATATTTTGACATTTTCTAAATGTATATTCACAAACTGTGAATATGCTGTGTACAGTAATTACAACCCTTTTTTTTTTAGATGTTATTTTATGTTTGTGTTTATGAAAGTAGATCTTTACTATCCCTAACTGGGCTTATTATTTTGCATTTAGGCTCATTTTGAGAACAAATCATGTGCTTTCTGCAAGAGTAATTGCTGAAAGTATAATTGTTGACTTTATCAATTTTTTTTATTAATATTGAGGTGTACTTTCACCAAAGTGGCATAGCTTTGTTGCAGTGTGTTAACGTGCTATAAAGCGGGGACATTTCCGGGGACAACTCCAGTTGGAGACTGGCCACCATAAACCAGGAAACTGCCCCCAGAAAGCGGTTTATCTGGTCACTCTAAGACCCCTATAACTGCCTCTAGCTATGCTTTTTAATCAAACCAAGCTTCTTTTATTATTCATCATTGTCCATCAGTGAAATATTTCCATATTGTTTTGTCGGGCTGGCAGACATAAACTTTATTTTAAGGTTTGAGTCACCGCAAGTGCACACTATGCACTTCATTATTCAGATGAATAATGCATAATAATGAATAATAAGCAAGCAAGCACATGGAAGTCATTTTAATCTGTTGTCTGTTGCTCTAAACATAGGATCTATTGGTTTTTGTAATCATTCCTATTTTTAATACCAGTTAGATCCCACTCTCCTGTTTCGTAAACTTCTAACCTCATTCATGACACGGAAAGCCTGCATTTACTGAATTACAGTGTTTGTGTTTGTGGTCCTGTTGATTGTGCATTAGCCCGTGTGCTGTATAGTTCTGTTGAAATGTGTGGTCACCCTTAAAAGGCTTAAGCCGTGTTAAATCACGTGAACAGTGTTTACTTGTGTATTTCCACCTCTAATATCACAAACACACTAGTTTGTTTGGGTTCAGTCTTGGTCATGGCAGCAATCCTATATTGATTCTAGACACCTGTGTAAAGTTTGGATGCTTATCAGCTGAAAAATTCCCAATGTCCAGGGTTAGTAAATATGGGACAGTTGCTCAGCTGATTTGTCAGGTCAAAAAAAATCCCCTTATGGGGGTTCTTACCATAAGGACCATGAATAGACCCTGAATATTGTTGTGGTGTGTTAAAAAATGTGTAGTTTGACAAGTGGGAAAGTCACCAGTGTCGGATTCTTTCATTCTATGTTATAGATGTAAAGGATATGAGCCAGCAAGTAAAGCACATATATGGTCTTATGAGACCAACAGAGTGATAGGGCACAAAACCAAGTCTCTGACCAGAGTAATCTGTTTCCATGTCTCAGATTTCTGTGGATGGTTCCGTGTGCAACAACATGACTCAGCTTTTGAGCCTTCTGTGAATGGGATGGGTTTCTAATTGTCAGACTTTTTAATCAGGCCCACAACCAGTGTTAGGTGTTGCTTTGTCATGCATAGGTTCCTGCCAAACACTGCAGCAAACAAATACGAAAACCACTAACAAAGAGGTATAACGACACAATCCTCTATGTTTGTTTTGTGATTAGACATATCATTGCATCACGGTATTTAAAAACAATCAAACCGAGCAAAGCATTACTTCACTTTTTATGCATTATCATGTCCAAAAAAAAAAAAAAATTCACGAGATTAGAAAAACATGCTATTACTTTTGCCATGAGCTTCTGCGTCAGAAAGAAAGCATCTATGGTTCCATGAAGAACCTTTAACATCCATAGTACCTTTCCATTGCACAAAACAAAAGGTCTTTATAGTGAAAAGGGGTTCTTTAGATTAAAATGTTCTTCACACTAAGTAAATAAATGTTTTTTTAAGAACTGTTCACTCAAAAGGTTCTTTGGGAAACCAAAAATGGTATAGCCATTTTAGCAAAACATGTATAGCCAATTTTAATTGAAGCATGTCCACTGAAACTAGAAATTACTTTATGAATGATAAAATACTCTAGTGCCTCTCATGGTTAGGCAATAATTGGGTTGGAGAAGTGAGTGTGGAATAACTTTCCTTCAAACTGAAAGCAGAAAACAAAACTTTCCTTGTAACATTTCACATTATTTTTGTTTCTGTGCTGAAGCTGCTGTGTGTTACTGACCTGAATAGAATAAATCTGGATACTATTGGGAAGAGGCATATACTGCCAAACTGTTGGGAAATAGCTGTCAGTAATCCAAAGTGCAACCAAGAACAGTGAGAAAGAAAAATGTTCCAGTACTGATTGTAAAAATAAATCTATCTAGATTGATATTCGGTATATAAGACAAAGTGGACACTGATTGTATGGAAAGTTGAAAACCCTACTAATTGGCAATAGTTTCTAGATTTCCATGAATCAGTAATGTTCATCAAGGCCTGTGTTGTAGAATTACCCATTTGACAGAGTTTTACAGTACCATGCACCCTTTAAGACCTCAAATTCAACAGGTCACCCATCAAACTGTCACGGTGACATAGCCTAAAGAGATTGTTGATACTGATATGGGTTTTTTAATGGGCAATACCAATTTAATGGACATTGGTGCATCTAAGAAACCTTGCTGTGGTAAGTGCTTTACTGATTTGTTTGGCAGTAGGATGCTGTGTACAAAAAAGTTTAGACCTTAAAGGGATAGTTCACCCAAAAATGAAAATTCTGTCATCATTTCCTCACCCTTATGTTTTCCCAAACATGTATGAGTTTCTTTCTTCTGTTGAACACAAAAGAAGATATTTTTTGAAGAATATTAGTAACCAAACAGTTGATGGTACCCATTGACTTCCATAGTATTTTTTTCCAAATATGAAAATCAATGGGTGCTGTCAACTGTCTGGTGACCGATATTCTTCAAAATATTTTCTTGAGGTTGAGTAAATGATGACAGAATTTATATGTTGGGGTGAACTATCTCTTTAAACACTTGACTGCAAGTAACTTGCCTAAATTAAGAATTTCCACCATTAATTCTCATTAAAAACATTTTGTGACAACATGCCCCAATGCCATCTATATTGTTGACCCTTTGCCTACTTCATATGTTAAATATAAGAATGTTGAATTTTACCTTTGGAGGAAAGAATTCAAAACCATTTTAATTTATAAGGGGTTTAAACTTGGTGTTTGTAATCATTTTGGCGCATATGGAGAAACAAACATTTGTGACAACAAACTAGCCCCCGGTCTCCCCCTACAATAACATTTTTAGACTTGTTGATTGCCGCAACGAGGCTATTTTAAAATACCTATTTATTTTGCAGATTCATCTAGTGAATCAAAATCATGACATTGATCTTTTCAGATGAGCTTGTGTTATTAAATATGTTGCTGTGTCACGGAAACTGGTTCTGTCTTTGTTGAGCGCAAAAGGGGCGGAGTCTATTTTCGCAGTATATCAGCTGTCTGTTAGACTGTCCGTGTCTGTGAGATAAACACGGAGCTCGGCTGCATCCGTGAGCGCGGCTCTGGCCCTTTCGGGAGTTATATGTTTTTGCACATTTAGTTGTTCTAGAAAGGTTATTTCTCTCCAACTTCAGCTACAGTGTTGGCTAAGTTAGGAGAGGAGAGAAGGGAAATATTCGTGTTTTGCGCAGGAAATATTTGCATCGAGGATTTACTTTGCCCGTTTAACCCGAACCCTTACAAAAGAATCTAAAGCTTGACAAAACCGAACAAATACAATCGATATATAACACACAATGGACACCGCTGCATCTAAGAAACCTTGCTGTGGTAAGTGCTACTGATTTGTTTGGCGGTAGGAATCTGTGATAAATTAAGCGCCTTTGGCTTGACCAAAATAATAAATAACCTTGCACTTGAATTATTCTCATCGCACTTCTGCACTTTCTACATTTTCTCTGTCTCTTCAGAAAGAGTCCGCGAATTCTTCACGTCTGCAAAATTCCTCATTTACCTCGGACATGCTCTGTCAACATGGGTGAGAGATTTTTTGCATTATCTTTGGTTGACAGCTCTCGTTCTTCTTTTAATGTATCAGTCACAACAAAAATATTTTTTATTATAAACATTTTATTACATTTTATTGATTATTTATGAATATTTTAGATTACTGAAGGCTGTCTTACATTTGTTTGTCTTACATTCAGGGAAATTCAGCGTTACCTTTTTTCATAAAAAGTTTGTTATTTCAATGTTTATGTGAACTTTAAATAACAAAAACAATTGGTTTTGATATTACTAAGAGATAATATCTACCATGACAGCAGAGTGACAGTTTGAAGATCATTAATTTTACTCCAAAACATTATATTCATTATTTCAGTATTATATTCATTATTTTATTAATATGTTGTCTTATATAAATGTGTTGATCCATATCAGCTAACATATAAAGCTGCAAAATACTACTGACAGTGACAACTAATTTTTTTGCATGATTCCTTATTTCAATCACAAAATTACGTTGACTGATGATCATTGTGTTATTATGTTACAGGGGGATCGGATGTGGAATTTTGCTGTGGCTGTGTTTTTGGTGGAGCTGTATGGCAATAGTTTACTCTTGACAGCCGTGTATGGACTGGTGGTTGCGGGGTCCGTCCTCTTACTGGGCGCTATTATTGGTGACTGGGTGGACAAAAACCCCAGACTGAAAGGTAAACATGGCGAAGCCCAAACCACGGAGCATGCAGGATTATTGTGAAACATGACACATTAATTACTCATTAATTATGCCAGTTATTCCAACATTTTTACTGAATGCAACTGAGTCTGGATTTCTTTCTTAATATTCAGTGGCGCAGACATCTTTGGTTGTCCAGAACAGTGCTGTCATTCTCTGCGGTATCCTTCTGATGGTCGTTTTCCAGTATAAAGAACAGCTTTCTAACATGTATGACGGATGGTTGCTGGTGAGTTTGATTCCTAGCAAAATTCTGACACTATTTATTTATCAGTATTCGCTGAGTAAATAGTTCTTCGAAAGCACAAAGAACTAACCCATATTTATACTATACACAATAAAGAAAGTCGTCATTTCCATGAGCAGAACATTCTTGTTGCAGTTCTTTGGCCTCCAGTTTCGTTTTTTTACTCCATTTTTATGCATATTGTTTCACTATGACTTGCTGTTTAGAATGTGTGAAAAAAGTTTATTTTTCATAGTTGGCAAAAAATAAGAGAATAATCAGAGTAATTTCAAGCTCCTTATCAATTTCTAACCTATATAGAAGATAATGTTGTCTAAAAAGAGTATGAGGCCATGCTCTTTATTTTGCATGGCCTCAACTTAAGTTCATGTAAGTGAAACACGACACCTTGGAAACAAAACGATGACATGCTGTCAGCAGAATCCAGGGATGTCACATGAGTAGAAAGCATGTTGCTTGCTCAATATTAGTCCTTTGAGTCTGTTAAAAGACTGGAAAGCTTAACATATACAATAACAAACAAAACCTGCTGTTTGTCCCGGTGTCACTGAGGTCGAGAACCCATATAGCAGACAAAATGTGGCTTGTTCAATGAACCGTTTTTTGTTCTGGACTGTTCCTGAAAATTGAGTTTAAGCTTTTTGTGGCAGTGTACTAAAACAATTAACAATATATTGGACACAGTGACGTATTTTTTAATGACATGTTTTTTGTCATTGCAGACATCATGCTACATTATGGTCATCAGCATTGCTAACATCGCTAACCTAGCCAGCACAGCTATGTCCATCACCATCCAGAGGGACTGGGTTGTGGTTGTAGCTGGAGATGATCGGAGCAATCTGGCAGGTCAGGACTTTTAATGTTTCACCTTCTTCAACTTTATTACAGTGGCCCCAAAAAAGTATTTGGACACTTTTAGACACTAAGCCAAGCTAAAAAATATATGAATTTCATATATTTCAGAGTAAACACAGTTGTAGTTCATCACATCCACTAAGTTTAACAATAAAAAAGTGTCCATATCATTTTGTCTTTATTTTTTGACTGATGTTGTTAAATTGAATAACTAGTGTAACAAACAAATAATTTTTAATTTAGTAAATTATTTAGGATTTGTATTTTTTTATTTTATTTAACGGAATGTGGCTTAAGTGTCCAAATACTTTTTTTTTCGACCACTATACTGTCTATAATAATCATTTCACTTAGTCGAGGAAACTCATAAAATGCATTACTGCTCTTTCTCCATCAATCGTCTTATCTTCATAGAGTACTTGCATCAGCTGTCATTTCATATGACTCTCATTATAAACCCATCAATGTACCCAGTGAACCCAGTAACCTCCCTGAAATCCATGAAAGCATAGCTAACACATAGCTTTCTCATTACTGTGGAAAAAACGAAATAAACATTAAAAAATATATATGTATATATTTAGCAAATGTATATAATATATATTAAGCAGCACAACAGTTTTCAGGATATAGAGAATATATCACAGATTTTAACAGTTATTCTCTCTTTTGTTTTCTATATTTCTATTTTGTCAGATATGAACGCAACTGTAAGAATAATTGACCAGTTAACCAACATTCTGGCTCCAATGCTTGTGGGCCAGATCATGTCATTTGGTTCCCATTTCATCGGCTGTGGTTTTATCTCGGGCTGGAACCTGTTCTCCATGTGCTTGGAGTACTTCCTGCTTTGGAAAGTTTATCAGAAGACTCCAGCACTTGCCTTAAAATCAGGACAGAAGAACACTGATGACCAGGAGCTGAAGCATCTCAACATACAAAAAGGTTTGTAATACCACCCAAACTCCTCTGCCACTTTTCACTAATAGAGTCATAGAGTCCCAATACTTTTTATTTTTTTAAGCATTACAAACAAAATCATGTTTTTTGTAGTGAGCACTTTTAGATACAGACTACTATCTAACATAAGATTAACATGAGAAGAATGCAATATTAATCCGCCTTAAAACTGCAAAAGTGATTTTTAACCTCCCAAACTTTGTGCAGAACCCTGTTACCTATGGATTTTTCCCATTACAAAAATTTAACATTCCTTAAAATTGTGACATCCAGGAAGTAAACATTTCATTTGATCAATAAGTTACTCAAACTATAGTGTTAACTGCACTTGTTTTTTTACTCACTATAAACCTGCATATAAGGCATATTATGAAATTTATGAAACTTTTTCACTTTGTTTTTTCTTATTTTTTGAAGATTAAGCACTTTTCACTGATCATTTGCTTTTTTATTTAGTTTCAAATCCTATTTTGTACCCTATTTGTTGAAAGTGCCTTTCATTGTGTATTTTCTAAATGGTATATTTATGAATCTTTACTGAAATTTACTTTTGTGGTTTTCCTATTCACTGTTGCAGAGATTGGAAATACTGAAAGTCCAGTTGAAGGCTCCCAGCTGATGAATGAAACCGTTGAGGTGAAGAAGAAACCCAGTTGCTGCTACCAAATGACTGAGCCCATCCGTACCTTTAAGGATGGCTGGGTAGCCTACTACAATCAGTCCATCTTCTTTGCCGGCATGTCTCTGGCTTTCCTCTACATGACCGTTCTGGGCTTTGACTGCATCACCACGGGCTACGCGTACACTCAGGGCCTGAACGGCTCTGTGCTCAGTCTCCTCATGGGAGCCTCGGCTATATCTGGAATCTGTGGAACGGTGGGCTTCACCTGGATCAGAAAGAAGTGCGGCCTGATCAGAACCGGCTTCATCGCTGGAGTCGTCCAACTGTCTTGCCTCGTGCTCTGCGTGGCATCCGTCTTTGCTCCTGGCAGCCCTTTCGATCTCAGCGTCTCGCCCTTCGAAGAGGTCTTAAAACATCTGTTTGGAGACAGCGGCTCGCTGCGTGAGAATCCTACTTTTGTTCCTACAATTGAACCACAGATTCAGACAAATGCCACTGTTTTTGAGGAAGCCCCCCAAGTGGAGTCCTACATGTCTGTCAGTCTTCTCTTCGCCGGTGTCATTGCTGCTAGAATTGGTAAGTAAATGAGCAACCAACAGGAAACGGGTTGTATTTAGTCCTTATTTTCCATTATCTTCAAGAAGAGGAAAGTGATATCCATATCCATATCTTTTATCACCTGAAAGTTATAAAGCCAACCTTTGAGACCAAATAACAACAAGTCATGTTTGTGATAATTGTGTGCTGGTGCTCTTTTAATGTCACAATATATGTTTTAATTGTTTCTGGTAAATTGCTTTCAGGTCTTTGGTCCTTTGACTTGACCGTGACCCAACTGATCCAAGAGAATGTGATTGAGTCCGAGAGAGGAGTCATCAATGGTGTCCAGAACTCAATGAACTATCTACTTGATCTCCTGCACTTCATCATGGTCATCCTTGCACCAAATCCAGAGGCCTTCGGCCTTCTCGTGATCATATCAGTTTCCTTTGTTGCAATGGGACATATGATGTATTTCAGGTTTGCCTATAAAACCCTCCGAAGTCGACTCTTCCTGTTCTGTTCGCCCGAGCAGAAGCCAGATCCCAATATTCCCTCACTTTCCAACTCTGTATAACTATTTAAAGAGACCGTAAGCCAATTTCTACTTGTTTCGCATGCTGTGTTCTTTAAAAACGTCGCCAGGAACCCATTCCATCTCTTTTATTAACATGCATGCTTTTGGAGTGAGTAAAAATTCTTCTCCATTAGCTAAAATAACAAAGAAGAGACGGAGCTCTGCTTAGAGATATGTATGTCAAAAAAGCATACATTGCTTCCCTTGTTTTTTGTGTTCAAGGTGCTGTAAAAATGGCAGAGAAGTAATTGTAGGAGGAAACACACAAATGGGAATTATGGTTCTTATGCGAAATACCACGCTTTAATAACTCCAAAGCAAAAATTGGCATATTTATTCTATTTTTACATATTTTATATATTGGTTTTTTGACTGTATGGTCATAGTTAATCTTCAGACTAGGTATGTGAGTTTTGCAATGTGTTCTACTTAAGATAGAGTAGTTTTGTAATGTTTGCCCCTCAATGCTTTTAACAAGCCATGGTTAAAGTCTCTTTTATAGTTATTTTGAGTGTTCTAGTTATTCATTCAGTTATGCTTCTATAATGCTTATATATTTATATACATGTAGTCAGTATTCTGTATCTCAGCTTCGGTGGTGCTATTATTACAACTCTTCTGGAAAGCAATGCAGACATATATACAGTTTGTACATGTAACCAAAGTGGATTTTTTTTCACCATGTGGAAGTGAGGGAATTGCAACCGTTTTCTTGTTAACATTCCGAATATTAGTGCTGTGAACATTTCTTGGAGATTTAGGCCCTGATACACTCGCCCCATTGCAACTAGTTTTTAAGACTAGATTTATTTTGTTCTGTTTGATTAGAAAGTGATTTTTAGCACATAATTCTTGTTTTTGCAAAGATTGTTACACAAGCACTTTACGTGATTACACTTTGTCCGTTACGAAATGAGTGCAACGAGACACTTCAGGTTTAAGGTATTTGCACACAATTGATTCACTGCCACCAAAGTTCACAGTCAGGCAGGAATTCTGACATTTTCTTTTCTCAAAACTGGAAGATTCTCAAATTTGCTTCAAAAATGGGATTTTAGAACTAAAATCTCTAAAACACCCTCATGATTTTTACTGCCCTTTAAGTAATGCCACACCTCAGTTTTTCCTTCATGAAAATCATATGCTAATCTAGATGTTCCATAGAACTAAGTAAACATTACAGACCTGCATTTTTAGGTCTATGAGCCGACGCAGGCCACAAACACTCAGGCACCAACAACCTTTTGAAAACCACTGCTGGCTTGACATATAGTTGAGGTATTTTGTAAGTTGTGTAATATTGAGGTTGGACACCAGCATGGCTCCACCATATGCACAGAAAAGAGAAGGGATTGAGTCCAATGTGGACGGCTGGTTTGAAGTGCAGCTGGTCACAAATGCAGGTGCCAAATGAAGTCAATGATTTTTGACTTCACTTGTTAAGCATTTCTAATGTTGAAGATTTCAACAACATCTTGGATGAAGAAGATCCATTTCCACCATTGTGAACATACTGTCGGTCTTTAAACTCTTACTTCATTGCGTCAGTCCATATTGTCTGTATTTCTGCGAATGTGAAGCCTTATTTAGATCTGTAAAATGTTTTTATATTCTTGTGTTGACTACTATTATTTGAATTCCGTTTTGTCCTATGTAATGCCACACAGATCATCTTGCCCTTGACTATTGCAAAATGAAACACTTGCAATAAATTTTTCTTTTAAAATCCAGTTGAATGTAATGTAAGAACAAACATACATTATTCTTTGTAGGAGCATATTGATTCTGTTCCTGTTGTGTGGTATACTTGCAATAATTGTGGTTCACACTCCAATGCAGGGGGAATATACAACTTAAGACTTGTACTGCATCTCACTTCAACTGAAATAAACAGATTTGTATCCAAATGCAACATTTGAGTCGTTGAAATAAGTAGGGGGGGGATTTTAAGACGTCGACTGTGAACCCGCAGGAGCTGGAATACATGCAGCAGCAATTGTACAGGGTCACATTCCTCAGAAGGGTTTGCTGCTAATTTTCTCTAAAAGGCCCTTTCAGACTTTTTTTGGGTTAATGCATTGACTAAAAGCTGAGTTGAGCTTGGCTTGCATGAGAAGCAAAGACAAAGAGCGACCTGATTACTTGCCAGTAACAAACGCAACGCCTCCCATTCTGGGTGGGCGGCAAATCAGGCTGACCTGGCAGGTCTAGAATTAGTATGCAACTGAGTTAACTTTGTGTTTTTACGACCAACAGTGAGAAACATCTATCCAGACAGTCAAAAACGATTAAAGGGATAGTTCACCCAAAAATGAAACTTGTCATAATTTACTCACTCTCAAGTTGTTCCAAACCTGTATGAATTTCTTTCTTCTGCTGAACACAAAAGAAGATATTTTGAGGAATATGGGTAACCAGACAGGCCCAAGCACCCATTGACTCCCATAGTAGGAAAAAAAAAAAATACTATGGAAGTCAATGGGGCCCATCAACTGTTTGATTACAGACATTCTTCAAAATATAATCTTTTGTGTTCAACAGAAAAAAGAAATTCATAAAGGTTTGAAACAACTTGAGGGTGAGTGATAACAGAATTTTCATTTTTGGGTCAACTATCCCTTTAAGGCTGAATGTACTCAAATATTAGTTAAAGCCTGAAGCAAAGTGGGAGCAAAGCTCAACTAAAAATTCGACTTTGCTTGAACTAGAAATCAAGACGTGGGTAAGAGATAAGATATTCTCCTTAGTGTTTCAAAAAGAAAAGTGCACGTGTGAAATAACCTGTGTCCTGAGCAATGAATTTTGTACAACATCAGTCCTAAAAAGGCATATCATAACCATGACCTTTGATACATTTCCTGGAAAGCAGTTCTAATACATAAGGGGTTGACATTCGTTTACCTTGTCTGTAGTTTACATTAGTACACAGAGAAAAAACAACAACAGGATTGAAGGAACTGTGAGGTGTTACGAACACATGACCGGCAAACATTTGATCAAAACCACTCATAAACCATTAAAACAGAACAGCCTAAGCACCTTAGACTGGTTGGCTTTTTTATATTTATGCTCACGTGTATATATATACAGGTCCTTCTCAAAAAATTTGCATATTGTGATAGTTCATTATTTTCCATAATGTAATGATAAAAATTAAACTTTCATATATTTTAGATTCATTGCACACCAACTGAAATATTTCAGGTCTTTTATTGTTTTAATACTGATGATTTTGGCATACAACTCATGAAAACCCCAAATTCCTCAGACTCAAAAAATTAGCATATTTCATCCGACCAATAAAAGAAGTGTTTTTAATACAAAAAAAAAAGTCAACCTTCAAATAATTATGTTCAGTTATGCACTCAATAGTCATTACTTGGTTGGGAATCCTTTTGCAGAAATGACTGCTTCAATGTGGCGTGGCATGGAGGCAATCAGCCTGTGGCACTGCTGAGGTGTTATGGAGTGTTGGGTCTTGTGTCTCTCAACTTTCTCTTCACAATATCCCACAGATTCTCTATGGGGTTCAGGTCAGGAGAGTTGGCAGGCCAGAGCACAGTAATACCATGGTCAGTAAACCAATTACCAGTGGTTTTGGCACTGTGAGCAGGTGCCAGGTCGTGCTGAAAAATGAAATCTTCATCTCCATAAAGCTTTTCAGCAGATGGAAGCATGAAGTGCTCCAAAATCTCCTGATAGCTAGCTGCATTGACCCTGCCCTTGATAAAACACAGTGCACCAACACCAGCAGCTGACATGGCACCCCAGACCATCACTGACTGTGGGTACTTGACACGGGACTTCAGGCATTTTGGCATTTCCTTCTCTCCAGTCTTCCTCCAGACTCTGGCACCTTGATTTCCGAATAACATGCAAAACTGAGCAACAGTCCAGTGCTGCTTCTCTGTAGCCCAGGTCAGGCACTTCTGCCGCTGTTTCTGGTTCAAAAGTGGCTTGACCTGGGGAATGCGGCACCTGTAGCCCATTTCCTGCACACTCCTGTGCACGGTGGCTCTGGATGTTTCTACTCCAGACTCAGTCCACTGCTTCCGCAGGTCCCCCAAGGTCTGGAATCGGTCCTTCTCCACAATCTTCCTCAGGGTCCGGTCACCTCTTCTCGTTGTGCAGCGTTTTTTGCCACACTTTTTCCTTCCCACAAACTTCCCACTGAGGTGCCTTGATACAGCACTCTGGGAACAGCCTATTTGTTCAGAAACTTCTTTCTGTCTTACCCTCTTGCTTGAGGGTGTCAATGATGGCCTTCTGGACAGCAGTCAGGTCGGCAGTCTTACCCATGATTGCGGTTTTGAGTAATGAAACAGGCTGGGAGTTTTTAAAAGCCTCAGGAATCTTTTGCAAGTGTTTAGAGTTAATTAGTTGATTCAGATGATTAGGTTAATAGCTCGTTTGGAGACCCTTTTTATGATATGCTAATTTTTTGAGACAGGAATTTTGGGTTTTCATGGGCTGTATGCCAAAATCATCAGTATTAAAACAATAAAAGACCTGAAATATTTCAGTTGGTGTGCAATGAATCTAAAATATATGAAAGTTTAATTTTTATCATTACATTATGGAAAATAATGAACTATCACAATATGCAAATTTTTTGAGAAGGACCTGTATATATATATATATGCCGATAATAAATATATATATATATATGCGTGTTTTTGACCAATATTTGTTGACCAGAAAGTTACTAAATCAAGGCTAAAATAGACCAAAATCAATTTTTCACAGCACATTGTTCAAAAAGTCCTTTATAAATTAATGTTAATGAAACTGGGATGAACATTACACTAACATTCAGAGTTACAAAATAGTATTGTCCTTTTTGTTCCAAAGAGAATCATTCATCAAATCCCTAGTGCGCTGCTGCAATCCGAATAAACAACTGCTAACCAACCACCATTCTGGGTTTGAAGAAAGTTGGGAAGAATTAAAAAAACACATTAACAGGATCATGAATTTGCTTCATCACGGTTTGGAGACAATGAGGCCAGTCATCCAGCTAAAGT